TTATTAGTTTACCTTAACAAACTAAACGAAACCTGGGCCGTTCACAATCTGATTTATTAGTAGATTCAGTGTCCCTGCCTGTGGGAAGACCTGGAGAGTAACAGCTTCAGCTGCCACACTGCTTATGTATCAGTCTTGAAGTAACTGATTCTGCAAACTCAAGCAAGCTCTGTGAGATGCCAACAAAACAAGCCAGCAAGAAATACCACGGACTAGTCCTAATTCTACTTCTCCATGAAGATTTAAACAATTCTTTCTACTTGTGATTCAAAACCATGAACATCTGCCTTTCTGAAAGCAGATACTAAATCTTTGCCTTCAAAAGTAGAACAGAAGTCATGCTTATGGCACTGGGCATTTGCTTTTCATAGCACGTGTTCTTAAGTGCTTGCTGTATCCTCCACTTGAAGTTAGTCCTGTTCTTGCCACTGGCTGAGGGGATTCAAGCTCTCCTTTTCCCCCACGCACACCCTAACCAGCGGGCTGGAAGCCAGTCTGGTGTGGTGGAAAGGGAATATGGAAATGTTTTCTATGTTTTCTCCTCTGCAGCAGAGAATGGAGGTTCTGCCTGTTCCAAAGAGAACAACTCTGTAGTCCAGTATTGAACATAGTTGTCAAAATGGTCTGCTTATGTCTTACAGGTATTTATTTCTGTTGCATGGTTTGTCTAATTATACTTTTAATGCAAAAGACACAGTTGTGCAAACAGAGATCAGAAATCTTTTCCTTCCAAAACTACCTCAAAAGCTATATAGTCACCCATCTAATAACATACATTTATGTTGTAGTAAAAGTGCATCATTGTTAATTCAAGAAACAAATTTGAAATTGATAGAAGGGAACTACTAGTGAGTAATATGTAATTAAACTGTAGCAGAGTCCATCATTCTGTGAGGGGTGAATATCTGTATTTACATGGGTTGTGATCATCCTGCCCTAGGACATAAGTGTTGGCTGACTCAGGAAAAAAAAAAGTCCTTGCTGATTATAAGACCCTGTTGTGGATAAGGAGCATTTTGGGGAATTAAAAGAAAAAATCCTTCTGTAAAGCATTGCAGACCATTGCTAAGATTTACCACGTAAAGAGAAACTTCTAGTGTCATATCTGTCCTTTTATCATGTATTAAACAGGGGAAAATGATTTGTGGTATATCATATGGTTGCACCTGATGATCTTAAAGGTCTTTTTCAACCTAAATGATTCTGTGATGTGGCCTTAACTTTCATTAAGCAGACAAAATATCACACTTCTGTGTGCTTCTGTGTACAACCTCCTTAATATGTGAATTACTTATAGCCTGATGTCATTTAAAAGGATACCTCAAACGTCCATAGGCCTAGAGATGAAACCTTCTACAGAGTTTTAAGCAAGTTAGTTTATTTATTTTTCTGTCCTTACAATATTGACATGCTTGTAGCACTACCTACCCCCATGCTCATATGGATGCAAAGTGCTTATCACAACAGCCTTATTTACTGCTTCCTTGGATTTAGACTTTTCTGAGTTAGTGAAAGAATGAGAAGAAGGGCAGAGAAGGCTGAGAATTAGACAAAGTCTACAGATGTGCATAATTTCACTTAAGTGGTACAGGTGGAAAAATCAAATAAGCTTTTCAAGCACACAAGTCCTTTTTCAAATCTGAAAATGAAACAGCAGCTTCCCAAGCGAAGTACAGAACAGCTGCTTAGAGTTTGGTTAGGTGTGTATCAAACAGACCATCTTTGAAGAAAAGGTTAGTGGCATCCCAGGAGTACAGGGAATGTTATTCAGAGAAAGGAGAGAGTATTATGAAAATACTCATCATCTAGGAGAAAGGAGGAGGGAGTTAAAACCCTATAGTAAATTGCATGAAAGTTATGTGCTATAAACCCAGTTTGTTTATTGAGTCAGTGGTGTATTGGTATGCAGTCCATCCCGAAGCTTGTCTTAATTTTCCAGATAAACAGATACATTTAATGAAAGATGACCCTTCTGGCTAGAAACCTTGTTACATTTATGTCTCAAAACCATCAGGACTACAGCAAAATACTGCTGAAATAGATCATACATAAATTAGGGCAGTAATTAACATGAATTATCTGACTGCACATGACCAAAAAAGCTTTTTGTTAATAAACCCAGTATTTTCTATTATACAGAATATTGATTTCCAACTAGGGAGATGGAAAATTGCCCAGAGAGCTGTGGAATCTCTGTCCTTGGAGGTGTTCAAGACCTGCTGGGACAAAGCCCTAAGCAGCCTGGTCCAAGGTCAGTTTTGACCCTGCTTTGAGCAGGAGGTGGGCTAGCAACCTCCTCTTTTGCTGACTGCATGCCCCAATAGGAAGGACTCTGTCATCAATAAGAGCACACAGGCCAGATCTTTCCCTCCAGTTCTAAAGTATACAAGGAGGATATGAGGTGGCTAAGAACCACAGGAATAAAAAGATTGACACATTCACTCACAGTGTAGGACACAGCAAAGACAGCAACAAACTGACTCAGCAACCGGGTGACCAGCCCAATGCCAATCACACAGCAACTGCCAAAAACCAGCGCCAGTATTACACACATAATGCTCCTTCTGCTCCTGGTTGTGTTGGTGTCCCACCATCACTGGGAGCTCTGCCCACAACGGACAGTCAGGGAGCCCCACCAGTAACTGGAAACACTACATAATACACACATCACATAGGTAGACACCCAGGCAGAGCCAGCCTTCATACTGTTAACTTTAGAGGCAGGACACCTGATGTTGATGCTAAAGACAGGGCACCTGGTGGTGAGCTCCTGATTGGTTTTCACCCTAGGCTGGCCAGGCTTTGAGAGAAAACCAAGAATATGATCTTTCCCACCTGCCTGTGGACATCATCCACATGTCAACCCTGGTTCAGGGCTGGGGGTTTAGACCCCAGCACCTCACCTTCTGGGACCTCTTTCCAGCCTCAACAGTTCAGTGGTACTGTCTGTCATTTCAGGCATCCCATCTCTGTGATGGACAAGTGTGTCCTCTCCATAGAGGAGCAGTTGTGCACTTCTTCCATAGGCACGTCGGGGTACCTCCGTTGGGTACTAATCCCCATAATGTATTAACGAAGCCCAAAACTCAGTGGCTACAGTTACATGGGATTGATTCTCCCTACGCTGTAAGAACAGTTATGTTTCACTAGAGCTGTGTTTCCCTGGGAGGAACAGCACAATGTTCTCACAGCAAAACCAGCTGGAGTAGAAGGACGTCTTGCCTTGACATATGCACAGTGTGTTCAGGCTCCTCAAAACAAAGCAGTTAGCTGGAAGATCCTTACACCATAAGCTGATTATCTTTGTTTACATAGTCTAGGACTAGCAATGCTACTTTGAGTCTCACATTAATGACCTGAAATTTTCTCAAGTCAGAAATTCCATTTTCTCCTTAATTTTTGTTAAACCTATTTGTTGCAGCCAGAATTGCCTTTTGTTGCAGCCATGGAATTGCCCTTTTTATCCTCTTCCTTTCCATCTGTCCAAAACATATGTTTTTATTTGCTAAATAATTGCTTGTGGGAAACTTCTTAAAATATCCTGTTAAACCCATCACAGAATATTAACTACTATTTTTCCTTCTCACCTAAAGTCATGGATGTGATACCAAAACTCTGTTAATTCTAATGTAGTGGAAAAGCCAAGCGTTTTAATAGTTCCCTTCCGTTTCAAGTCCAACAAAAAAGGCAATAGGGATACAAGTTTAGACACAAAACACTGAACTGTCTGTCGCTTTTCAGATGTGCTGCTATACCTCAACTTCAATATCAGGGCGAAGCATATGGCCACAGAACTTACATAGTTGAGTAAACAACCACCTCCTTGTACAAATATTCCTGCAGAAATATTTCAGAGATTTGCCTTGAAATTAGCATCACTATACAACTCTCTCCCTTTTCCTCCTGAGCAACCTCAAAATAGTCTACAATAGATACTTGTATTACCTTCTTTTGATTTAAATGAGAATTTCTCCACATTTATTTTGGTTCAGTCATCAGGTTTTTCTGCATTATCCAGCTAAATGTAGGTATCCATAGGATAACACACCTACAATTTTGCTGAGCACAGGAGACCTGGTGTGCTATTCAAAGCAGGAATATTGGTGTTGAGTTTGCTACGTGAAGGAAAGTGGATTCAAGGCACGTACAGCCAGATTATTTTTCTCCATAAAATGAGACAAAAAATAAAGATGACATTTGTAGTCTGAAGATTTTAAGAAACTAAGGAACTAAGGTTCTTTCCTTGTCTTCTTTTAAAGACCTTTGGAGCATCTGATACAATTACTGCTCTCTGATATGTTATGCCTTTGATACAAAATTTTTGAAGGTTTGTAGAAAGAATATTTTTATTCTCAACTGCTTTAGAAGTGGGATATTCCATATGTCAGTGTAACTAACATTTGTCTTTCTGACATTGTGTTTGGATATGACAGTCTTAAGTACCTGTACACAAATGGAAAAACCTTGAGTAACTTTAGACAGCAGTGCTAAGCCTTTGCAGTACTACTGCTAGTATTTACTAATTCACCGTGGCAGCAGGTGTAGTTAACAGAAATGTAACAGAAATAGGATTTTTATTGACTTAAAGTGACAATTAAGACAGACAGAAGGAAGGGCTAAAATGTGCAAAATCCAGGGAAAATGCAAAGGTAAGGTTTTTGGATTTTGTATCCATTTACCAGCTAGTCCATAATAGCTGAATGTAAAATTTGGCTATCCTAATTCATGTCTTTTTTTTCCTAAGAAAAGTAGATAGGAGCTCTGGAATAATGATAGCACCCTGTCTTTATCTGAAACTAATTAATAGCCTTCCCTTAAAGAAATGTTGTTTTGGTTTTGTTTGTTACTCAAACATTGTTTCCTGTCAAAATGGACAATGTTTTACAGAATAAGCTAGAATCCGGGAACAGTATTTTTTTTGCAGAATGGGATTGCTTTCCTGTCAGCCATAGCAGCCAATATTTTTTTGCTTTCTTTGTCCCTGGTTCAGTCACATGCAGATGGATGGACTTGGATCTTTCTCCTGCCTTGGCCGAAGCCTGCTATTCAACAGAGGGATTTTGATATGCTCCCTGAGCAGCATTACAATGTTAACAGCACATGAGCATATTGTAATCCTCTGGTCTATTCTCCAGAAATACTTTGACCTTAACTGTTCTATATGAAATGATGTATTTTAAACTTTACAAGGCAGTTTAGCCAAAGTCCTTGACTGAACTGAGTTTTTCTGATAGAGAAAGGAACGTACTGGCAGTTTTTATAAAAATTCAATTGTGATTTACTCCAGTCTTTTTTGCTAGTACGCTTCCATTCATTTTCAGTCCTAAGGCTCATCAATTTAGAATACTTTTTTTTTCTCTTGGGGAATCAAAATATTCTGTTAGCTGTGCTCAGTTTTTACCCTTAGTGAAAGTATGAACTCACACACGGTTTTTTCATTCCATATATACTGAAACCTTTAGCTCCAGAGCTGCTTCAGTGTGCCATTCAGCTCATGAAATTGTCCAAGTTAAAATTTTCTTAGTAAAGAAAACTATCAAATGCTATACACAAGGCATGGTCCCAGTCCACCAAATAAATTCTAAAAGTGAGAGATCCTTTGCAATTATTTAAGCCGAAGGGGGCTTTGTGGCAAATGCAAATTAAACCAAGCTTTTCTGGGGTAGTGTGAAGCTATTCACAGTTGAGTCCCAATTACATTTTATTTGAGGTTTTCCCCATAGAAAATAGTAATTATTTTTCCTTGAAATATCTTTAAGTTATAAAACTTTGCCTGTCGTAGTGCTTGAAAGTTTTTAAACGGAAAACCATGTTTGGCATCTGAAACCTCTTGAGAAGAAATCAAAGCATTTTACTGAAGCTTGTTAGTCTCTTTCTGTGTTTGAGAAGTTTAATAATTTTGAAGAGAACAAAGTAAACTTGAGGTTTTCTGGATTTTTTTTTTTCTTAAGTGAGCAGTACCAGTAAGAAGAGAGTTCTTGTGTCATGAAATTGCTAGGTCTTTTTCCCCTAGGTTTTCAAGAAATGTTTGAGAGGTGGGGAATGTAATTAAAATCTTATTCTCCCTTTGGCTGCATTTTTAATTTTGAATTCAAACCCTCACACAGCGTAATAGAGCTTTGCTTTGGGCTGTTTTATACCTCTATCAAAGTGACTAAAGTAATTAGTATTTTATACATTTTGGTAAGTATTTTGTCACTGGAAGCACGAGTGCAGGTGAATGATAATAGTTTGAAGCTCAGGCAGTGATGGGACCCTAAATGAGAATGTCGCCTTTTAATCAAGAGCTCTTGGAGTCTATGGTATTGAAATGCCCTACAGAGAACATAGAAAAGCAATCCATCACTTTGTGACAGTCCAATCTTTTAGTGCATGAGTAAAATTTTATTCAGCCTTTCTAAGGCAGTTGGAATGTAAGATGTTTTAACTCACCTCAAAACAGCAGTGTAGATGTTCAAAGGTATAATCTACAGATTGCTTTCTGGCCAGCATATGTGTCTTTATCGATTATCTCTATTTATTTAGATTGCAATTGAAACGTTTTTTCATGTCCTGCAAAGTGTCAGATACTTCCCCCTCCCTCTTACATACATAACAGGCAAGATTACGTCTAAATTTTAGTCATATGTTTGGAGCTAATTTGCATATTTGATTAACTCGATGCTCAGCGGAAATACTCGGCAAGTTAGAGGGAGAGAACTTCTGCTTTAAGAAGGGCAGAATTTCTAAGTCTCACATAGAAAAGTAGTTTGACACATGACTCAGAAGGTGTCTGGGGAGTGCTTAGAAGAAGCTGAAGTACGTTTAGTGACGTGTACTTGGAATGATAAACTACCATTATAATTCAGCATTCTAATTTCAAGCTTTGTGTTTCCCTCCATCAGCTTTGTATAGAAGTGAAAACAACAGCAGCAGCTGACAACAATGTTGTAATTTAAACAAAAATATTTTTGTGTTTGGGCATTTGTGAGATTCACTTTCTATGTCAACAGAAGCAGAAACTTGTACCAGAAACCTTGCCTTTTAAGATGAGTTGGCAATGATGACACCCTTTGACTCAAATGCATTTACTCCAAATTTACACTGTGTGCGTGACTGTCTTACCCGCTCTACTAGCTGCTTGAAATCAAGGCTGTTGATCTGCACTGTGCTTAATACTGTTTTTAGCTGGCTACTACTCTTTTCATTGTTGTTTAGTAAATTGGGGTTTCCATACCCTGTGGAACAAAATTTGCTGTGAATATGCATGATTAGGGTTTTTTTTCTATCTGGCATTTGAACATTATAAAGCTGAAATATTTTTTGTCAGACTCCAAAATAAGGTAGGACCTTCTGTGAAAGGAGAACATTCCTAAAATGCTACCATGTACCAGAGTGCTGAGATAGAAAAGGCTGGGGAAATTGTATCTGGCTTCATTTTAGTGAGTGGAAAGGAAGAGCAAGAAAGGTTTTCCTGCTG